TAGGAATAATACGGCAGATTGAAAATCGAGCACGACTGTGGCTGTAGATCTCTGCCAAAGGAAATTGCTAACCACCCTTCTTATCACGAAAATTACTTTTGCATTTTATCGAAGAATTGCAGGGGTTCCACACGAAGTATTGGCTTTTGGTTCAAAGATAAGATTTGCATGTTCATTGATGGGTGGGCGAGGATGACATGCCAAGAGTTGCCATGATTTTTAACAAAGATGTCTTAAAGACTAACAAAGAGCTGCCAATCTTTGTTCTTCTTCTTAAGATACATACACAAATGTTCCCTTAGCATTACAACATTATTGCTGTAGATCTGACTGCTTGACTTAGCTGGAGGTGAGACGCTAGTTTGAAAGCTTCAGCGAAAAGATTTTAGAGACGTAATGAATGTATCAAGAGTCAAAATGATTAGAGCATATTTCATGTATGAATCAGGACTTAACTGTAACTTTCTGACTTTCCCAGTGCCCGACTTTTTGTTGGGAATGTCTCATAAAAGTAAAATAATGATTGATAAGACCCTCACAATCTCAGTGCTTTCATACGATGGGATATACTCCCTAGTTCCTAATCTCGGACCGTAGCCTCGAATCTAATTCATACGCTTAGAAATCCACTGGTTCCAAGACATGCGCATTACCAAAACTACGATTAGTATGGTACCAAGTGCTATAGCAAATATACTAGTAAGAGGATGCAGGTGTTATAGTTTCTGGTATGCCCTAATATTACTGTTCATGGCTATGATAGATTCTTGGTAACCATTCCTATTATTTTAGTGGTCTAAATTGCTACATGGAACCAAGAATTCCTTAATTTTTCGGCACATTGTGAATTTATTATTCTATCTGTTAGACTTTCACCCATCCTAACTATCCCTTTCAGCCCAGGCTCAACTAAATGAGAGGTCAAAGAGGCATTTTCCAAAACAGATTCTCAAGTATGAATCTACTGAAGAGTTAAGTGGCCCCCTTCATGAATCTAGACGACCAGGGATCCCCATTTACTTTTGGAAGAGTAAGATTCTTATTTTCTCCTAAAATCTAATTGTTTGCATATGCACTCATTACAATTTTATAACGAGAGAAAAGTGTCCTTTTACAAATGGGAATTAGAAGTGACCATTTTATACTCGAAAGGTAAATTATCAAAAGACAGAGATGTTTCCTTACTATTTATTGTCGTTTTTTGGTGTGAACACGGTATCATTTTATTTCTTAGCTTCACTTCCCGTAGCCTCCGCCTCCTCCTCCGCCGCCGCCCCCGTGGCCACCTCCTTCCTCAAGGCTGAAGCTATTATTGCACCTCGAAACCGCCATCGTCCGTATCCACCGCCGCCGCCGCCGCCGCCTCCATGGCCACCACCACCTCCTCCAAGGCTGAAGCTGTTACTCGAGACTCCGCCTGAACCTCCGAAACCGCCGCCTCCAGCTCCACCATATCCTCCCCCGCCGCCTCCGTGGCCACCTCCTCCTCCGAGGCTGAAGCTGCCACGAGACTCCACCGCCCCCGTGTCCACCTCCTCTACCTCCTCCGTGCGCGACGCTGCCGCCTCCGCCTCCAAGGCTGAAGCTGCTACTCGAGGAACCGCCTGAACCTCCGAAACCGCTGCCTCCAGATCCTCCTCCGTATCCACCGCCGCCGCCGCCTCCATGGCCACCTCCACCTCCTCCAAGGCTGAAGCTGCTACTCGAGGAGCCGCCAACGCCTCCGTGTCTACCTCCTCCTCCTCCGTGCACGGCGCCGCCGCCTCCGCCTCCTCCTCCAAGGCTGAAGCTGCTACTCGAGAAACCGCCAGACCCTCCGAAGCCGCCGCCTCCACCTCCACCTCCATAGCCCCCGCCTCCGCCACCTCCACCGCCTCCATGTCCTCCGCCTACGCTGGGGGCTCCGAGGCTGAAGCTATGACTCGACGTCCCTCCAGCGCCTCCACCACCGCCTCCGCCGTGGCCTCCACCGCCTCCTCCTCCTCCTCCAAATCCTCCACCTCCATAGCCGCCGCCGCCACTCCTCCTCCAAGCTGAAGCTATGGCTCGACGTCCCTCCAGAGCCGCCGCCTCCGTAGCCACCCCCTCCCCCGCCCCCTCCAGCCGCGCTCAGGACGACCAGCGAAGCCAAGCTCAGCAGCGTCAACTTCCCCTGGAAGGAGGGCGACGAGAGCGTCAGAGGCATAAGGAGGATAACAACGATACAGAATTACGAAAATGCCGCTGATGGTGAGGATGGATAACGAAAATGCACGCAAGCAATTTGATGCAATTTCAGAAATCCAAATAATAGTAATAAGAAACGAAAGGAAGGGAGGGCGACGAGGAACGAATGGCCGCGGAATGACAGTAAAATCAGCGATGTTGTGGCTGGTGACACAGGGGATTAGAGGTAAAGTAAAGGCATAGATTAGTACAAATTTACTGTGCGATATATGTGTGTGTGGGCATATGTATGCATATATTTACATACATATATATATTTATCTATCAATTCATA